AGATCAGAGTTCAGAGTGATTGGTGAAAGGGTTTGGGATCCAATACATAAGAAAGGGCATTTGGGTCATTTTTCTTGAGCTTTTCTTTTTGGACAAAGTGTTTCAGCGCCTGGACCTTTGGGCAAACAAAATTGAAATAGAGAGAGAGAGAGAGAGAGAGAGATCAGAGTTCAGAGTGACTGAGTGAAAGGGTTTGGGACCCAATATATAAGGAAGGGCATTTTGGTCATTTTTCTTGAGCTTATCTTTTTGGACAAAGTGTTTCAGCACCTGGACCTTAGGATAAACAAAATTGAAATTTGGACTTTTGGACTAACTACCCTTACTTTTTTTATTTTTTTTATGAAAAATGTTTTAAAAAGTAAAGAAAGTAATTAACAACTTATAATGATTTTTTTTTTAAAAAAATTGGCTAGAAATCCAAATTCCCAAACCGGAAAATTCTTTTTTAATTTTGACTTTGTTCATATAAGGTGATGGTTTTTGGCTCACAATTAAGCTACAGTCCTAATAAAAAAACTAGTCAATATTTATCATAGCACAAAAATCTAATAGGACCCGACCCTTTTATATGGGTGTAAAACTAAAAAACGATGATTATTTATCTTATTTGAACAGGTTGTTTCTATTTTTATAATTGCTTTTATGGATTTTTAGACTTTTTCATAATTAGTAGTCTTATTTATCCAATTTACTGGACACAATGTATATCTTTAGGTAAAGAATTTGAGAAGAAATCGGTAAAAATTTCTATTTCATTAATTTTTATTTCATTAATTTTTCTACCCTTTTATTCCTCACTTACTTTGTGTGTGTGTGTGTGTGTGTGTGTGTGTGTGTGTGTGAGCGTGCGCACTTACAAGCTTTCAATCAAGTTCTGTGCTTTTAACCAAATTCTTTAATCCAAGTAGTACCCAAAATTTTATAATTTTTAGTCAAATCAAATACTTGACACATGATTTTTAATCCTAATAACGTGATTCTTGATGGTGAGATTATTTTTCCTGTTTCCTTTAAATTAAGGGGTCGTTTGGTTTTCATGTTAGATTAAAAAATCACAAAATGATTATAAAAAAAAAAATCAAAAAATCACAAAAGGACAAAAATCCCAAAAAGACAAAAAGAAATACACAATTCCAAAATCAAAAAATAAAAAAAGTCAAACAAGAATACCAAACAACTAAAAAAGTCTCAGGCTAAAAAAGTCAAAAAAACTATTGTGGGAGGTAATGAGTTGCACATTTCACATCTCCAATTTGCAGATGATACAATAGTTTTTTGTGAAGGTACTATGGAGGAAGTGTTAAATATTAAAAGGGTGTTGAGGTGTTTTGAAGTGATGTCCGGTTTAAAGATTAATTATCACAAGAGTGCAGTGTGTGGAGTGGGTTTCCAAGAGGATGAAACTGAGGATTTAGCTCAAAGCTTGAACTGCCTATCCAAGAAATTACCTTTTAATTTTTTAAGTTTGCCTTGAGGGATCCTAAAAGAAAGAGCACTTGGAGTCCAATAGTGGATAAGGTGAGCAAGAAATTGTCTCCGTGGAAGAGAAAGTTACTATCTTTTGCTGGGCGTTTGACCTTGATTAAATCTGTCCTCTCTAATTTGCCTATCTATTTTCTATCTATTTTCAAAATGCCTAAAGGGGTTGTGAAGGCTATAGTTAAGATTCAATCCAATTTCCTGTGGGGTGGATCTGATGATAAAAGGAGGGTTCATCTGGTTAAATGGGGCGAGGTTACTAGAAGTAAAAATCAAGGGGGTTTAGATGTGAGAGATTTGGGGGAGGTGAATGATTGTATGCTGCTAAAGTGGTGGTGGAGATGTGTTGCTGATGATAAAGCCTTGTGGAAAACAGTGGTATGCTCAAGATATGGTCGAGTTGGAGGGGGTTGGGTGCCATCTACGTACAGCTCAGTAGGGGTTTCCACAGTATGGAAGGATATAGTGCAGCTTACTTCAATCAATCAGCCTTTGGGAGAGTTCTATGGTCAGAATCTTAAGTTATCAGTTGGGAATGGGAGGAGGATTCAGTTCTGGACTGATGCATGGTTCAATGTCAGAGGTTTAAGGGACTATCCCAGGCTGTATAGTTTGTCCACTGAGAAACAAGATTCTTTACAGCAAATGAGTGCTAAGCAGAACAGTCATGGGAAGTGGCAGTTCCAATTCAGAAGAAATTTGTTGGCTTGGGAGGAAGAGGAGGTGCACAGGTTAGCTGAATCACTGGCAGCATTCCCTGCACTCAGGGTGGAATCAGCAGACTCTTGCTCTTGAAGTGGATCTGCTTCAGGGCAATTTTCTATATCCTCAGTGAGGAGTTGGTGGGATGCAACAAAAGGTTCTGGTTTGAGGGTGCCAACTGGGGTGTGGGTGAGTCTGGCTCCTCCAAAGATACAGTTTTTCTGCTGGTTGGCTTGGAGAGGCAGGGTAAAGACCTCTTCCTTCCTCCAGAGGATTGGGGTTTTACCTCCCAATGCTGTGACACTGTGTGTGTTCGGTCAATCTGAGTGGAATCACTGGAGCATGTGCTGCTGTTGTCCTCAGGTGTGGAAGTGTTGGGCAATCATGGTCAGCTGGTGGGATCACTCTTGGGTAATCCCTGGCTCAATTGAGGGTCTGCTACAATGGTGGTCAAGTGGTAATTTGAAGTCTTGGATCCCCATAGCTTGGCAGGTTATTCCTCCATTGGTACCGTGGTCAGTTTGGAAGCTGAGAAATGATAGCTTGTTTAAAGGGGTGGTTCCAGATTTTGTAGGATTGTGTGAGAGGATGAAAATGCAGGTTGCAATGTGGGTTAAATGGTCCCTTAAGGTTGATTATACTGTCCATGATTTTTTGTTCAACCTTCACCAGATTAGGGTGCAGGTTTGAAGTTTATCAGCTTGGGTTCTGGAAGCAGAGAGCTATGCCTTAGTGTATCTTCGTGGTCCGATCTGTGGAACCTGAGTGATGTTTGATCAGAGATGGTTTTGCTGTTAAACCTGCAAGTTGATTGATCACATAGCTGTTTTCTGCAGATCTCAGATTTGGAGCTGAAAGGGTTATAGTTTTTGATTGATCACATAGCTGTCTCCTTCTAATGTTCTTTGTGTGCCTTTTTTCTTTGCTGCTCTGTGTGTTGGTTACTCACCAACTAGGACGTTGAAGCTTCTTTTAGCTCCAAGCTCCTCTTTATTGATGTAATTCAGTGATTTTTCATCAATAAAGTTTTATTTGCCGATCAAAAAAAAAAAAAAAAAGTTATTGCCAAAAAAGGTATTGCCAAAACTATGATAAGTTCTCTACTAAAAACCATGCATAGTTATAAAAACTATAAAGAGGCCCAATTTGACCACAAACCTTGTTTTGTTACCACACATATACACATTCACTGGATTTTTTTTTATTTTTTTATTTGTTCATTCCATATTATTTCCATATACTGTTTTTAGTATATGAATAAAATCCCCTTTCCAACCCTATATTCAATTTAGTAGCGTTCTGTATTTAAAAAACAAAAAAAAAATATCAAAAAGAGATTCAGAATTTAAAATGTACGAATCAAATTTATTTCTTCTCCATTAATTTAAATTTTAAATACATTTCCAAATCTTTTTTCCAACTACCTAACATTTTCTAATTTACTCAAAATAAATCCTATTTTTCATAATTAGGTCATATTAAGAACACCCTCGAGAGCCAAACACTAACTTCTCTCCAGCAACATCATACACCACACACTACAACATTCTCTTAGTTCAGTGACACTGGAAAGTGTCACAAAACTATTCTTCTAGTGACATTTTTTAGTTTTGTGGCATTTTGAGGAAGTGTCATTTATACCCGTGCCGCGGTAGATACTAGTGGCACTTATAAGTGCCAATACACCATGGAGACTAAAACCTTTAACTTTAATGTCATATTAGATACTATTTGTGACACTACCAAGCACCATTAAAAAAGACTTACAATTTAAAAAATGTCACTATATATTTTTTTTAATGGCACTTCTTATGCCATAATTGATATTTTTAACAATTCTTATAAATGCCACTAGATCCAGCTTTTAGTGACGGATCAAAGTGCCAGTACTTCACCATTCATTTGTGCCATAAAATGGAGATAATTGAAAAACAAAACAAAAATAAATAAATAATTGTTTTACAACATTCACTCTATTGATATTTTGGTTTGTAAGATAAACAAATAAAATTTGATTTATTAAATGTAATTACAATTGATACAAATATAGCAATATTGTTCTTAACTAATAAAATAAAATGAAAACATTGTTCCTATTTTCGCAAAGTCCATATCATTATCATAATATCACAAACAAAAATTAAACAAATACAATATTTACATATTCTTCATATCCATGAAAAGCGACTTCAATAATATTTGTGGAAGTCAACGCCCAAATCGAGTTCTTATAAGTTCCTTGTAATTGCTAGAATCAGCCTCATAGAATTGTCTATACAAATTAGAATGGGGTCTCATAAATATGCTCTTCAAATGTTTTGATGATGATGAACTGCAATACAAGCAAAAATCAACAAGTAAGAAGAAAAATACACTCTAAAAAGCAAAATTAGAAACAAATAAAAAGAGCTCAACATATCACATGTAAATCCCTTCCATTGAATTCATAGTAATCATTAGTGGATAATATAGAAGATACTTTATAGTAACTCACTAACATTAGCATATAAGAGATTAATAAAAGAAGCTAATAGCACCACCACAAAATGAAAAGTACATAAGGAAAAAAGAAAAAAGAATTATACTACACTCTACTTTTGGTTTTTCATTTTCTTCCCATGCTTTAATCAAAGCTAGTTTCTTCTATTTTTTTATCATAATATCAAACAAAAAATGAAATACCTAAATATAATCATCAGCTTAGTGATTACCCTAATACTTAAAAAGTAATCCCCCTATATTTTACCTCTCTTAGTTGCATTTGTTGATTTCTTTTTAGCACAGGATTTGAAATCCTGTCACAAATTCAAAAAAAAATTATATACTTATAAATAGTGATATAATTAGCCAATTCACATTTCAGAGAGGATGTTATATATATATATATATATAAAGGCTTTGGAGTGAATCAATTTAGTTAATATAGCATGATAGATGATCCCTTAAACTTTTTTAAAAAAAAAAAAAAAGAAAAGAAAAAAAAGCCTAAATCAAGGATCAATAGAACATGAAGGCTTAACGTATATATATATATATATATATATAGAGAGAGAGAGAGAGAGAGAGAGACAGAGAGAGTGGGTTCATACATTTTTAAAAAATCTTTTGAATCTATATTTTCCATGCTTTGATGATGACATAATGTCTCTGTTTTCTATATATATTAAGCAAGGGAAAGAAGGAAAAAGAAATAATCAAATAAAACAAAACAAAAGCAACATAAATTGATAAACCAAACACCCATAGATTTCATGTGAACCAAATACTCATCCCATGGCAATGCCACATAGATTTCACGTGAACAAAAGCAACATAATGTCTCTGTTTTCTATATATATTAATGTTTGATCTCACATGGCAATGCCATGTGGCACTACCTAATAATTTTTCTTGACCAAGGATGACTACTACTAAAAATAACAAATAATAAAGTAAATTATTTTCCTATTAGTCAAACACAATCATCCAGCTGCAAGACAAACTCATTGACACATTCTATCAAACCCCTGCAAGACAACTTATGCACATATATACAACCATTAAAACTGTTAACACAACTAGACAAATAGAAAAGTATATTGAATAATATTATGTGTATGTCATACAATACAATGAAGGCCCATATATATAGGCAAAGAAGGAGAAAGAGAATCCTAATCCTACTATATAATGTAATCCTAATCCTATTATATAATGTAATCCTAATCCAATATATATTACTAACAGTCCCCTTCAAACTCAAGATCGCTTCAAAGAGACCAATTGGAGTTTGGAAAGTAACTCATGAAAACGACCAGGAAGATGAGTTTTAGTAAACAGATCAGCAACTTGAGCAGCGGAAGAAACAAACTGGAGTTGGATAATGCCACTATTGACATGCTGACGAATAAAATGACAATCAATCTCGATGTGTTTGGTGCGATCATGAAAAACATCATTGTGAGCAATCTGAATAGCACTACGATTATCACAATGAAGAGTAGTAGCAGTGGAATGAAGTACACCCATGTCCTTAAGTAACCAACGAAGCCATAAAAGTTCCTGAGTGGTGTCAGCAAGAGCACGATATTCCGCCTCAGTATTGGACCTAGAGACAACAGTTTGCTTCTTACTCTGCCAAGAAATCAATGAACTTCCAAGAAAGAAACAATAACCGGTAGTAGAGCGACGATTAGTGGGATCACTGGCCCAGTCAGCATCAGAATATGCACATAACTCAAGCGCGGTGTGAGCAGAGTAATGAAGTCCATGAAACAAAGTTCCCTTCACATAGTGGAGAATACGAAGAACAACAGCATAATGAGTAGATCGTGGAGCAGACAAAAACTGACTGACAATGTGAACTGCATGAGAGATATCAGGCCGAGTAACAGACAAATAGACCAGACTACCTACTAATTGTCGATATAAAGTGGCAACAGAAAGGAGAGTGCCCTCTAAAGAGGTAAGACGAACATTGTACTCAAGCGGGGTAGGAGCAGTCTTACTATTCGTAAGACCAGCACGAGATAAGAGATCAGATGCATATTTGGCTTGAGTGAGATACAAGCCACTTGGATCAGAAGAAATCTCAAGATCAAGAAAATAACTAAGAGAACCCAGATCTTTCATGTCAAAATGAGAGCTGAGAAAATGTTTCAGTTCATGAATGCCATCAAGATCATCACCAGTAATAATCATATCATCAACATAAAGCAAGAGAAAAGTAATGTCACGGGGCGTCTTGCGAATAAAAAGAGCAGAATCATAGGAACTTGAAGAGAACCCAAACTGAGTAATGGTAGTTCTGAACTTGAAAAACCAAGCACGAGGAGCCTGTTTGAGGCCATAGAGAGCACGACGAAGGCGACAAACAGTATCTAGGGGATGCTCATAGCCTGGAGGAGGTTGCATGTAAACTTCTTCAGTCAGGTCACCATTGAGAAATGCATTCTTGACATCCATCTGAGATAAACCTCACTGACGTGAGGCAGCAACAGCAAGTAAACTACGAACAGATGTAAGACGAGCAACAGGAGCAAAGGTCTCCTCATAATTAATACCATACTCCTGAGTGAAGCCTTTAGCAACTAGACGGGCTTTGTAATGTTCAATTGTACCATCAGAATGAGTTTTGATTTTATAGACCCATTTACAACCAATAGGAGTTTTGCCAGAAGGAAGAGCAACCATATCCCATGTATGGGTCTTATGTAAAGCCTGTAGCTCATTTGCCATTGCTTGCTGCCAAAGAGGATTAGTGCAAGCTTCATGATAGCTATGAGGTTCATGGTGACTTAAAATGGTAGAAAAACAATGATAATCTTGTAAATAACCTGCCTGTTTAGAGACCCGTTGTGAAAGAGGAACAACAGAAGTAGCTTCAGGAGAGTCACTGCTAGAAGATGGAGGAGATGTTGAAGAATGAGTAATATCAGTACTCTCAAAAGATGGTAACAGAACAGGATCAACAGGTAGAACAAGAACATCAGGAATAGTCGGAGAACCACTGGATGGAGAGGCAACTATAGGAGCATCATCAGGAAAAAGATCAACGGAAGGATCAGTGAAATATGAGATGGTGGAAGTTGAAGCAAGAGAGAATTGGGAGAGAGAGGAAAACATTTGATGTTCCCAAAAAATGACATGACGAGAGATACGAAGATGGTGAGAGACAGGATCCCAACATCGAAAGCCTTTATGTTCTATACCATAGCCTAAGAAGCAACACAATCGCGACTGTGGTTGTAACTTGTTATGTTCATGGGGAGGAAGGAGAACAAAACAAGCACACCCAAAGACTCGGAGTTCTGTGTAGGAAGGAGATGTACCATGGAGACGTTCATATGGGGTTTGATTGTTAATGATAGGAGAGGGAATACGGTTAATAGTGTAAACAACCGTAAGGGCAGCTTCACCCCAAAAACACTCAGGACAAGAAGAAGAGATGAGAAGAGCTCTGACTATATCAAAAATGTGCCTATGCTTGCGTTCAGCACGACCATTTTGTTAGGAGGTGTGAGGACAAGAGCGATAGGGAAGGGTACCATACTCACGAAGAAGTTTAAAAAAACTAGTCTCTTTATATTCTTGAGCATTGTCAGATCGGAAAACTTTGATAGAATAACCAAATTGAGTTTGAATCATTTTAACGAAATCACAATAAGTTTGAGGTAACTCCGAACGTTGTTTTAAAATATAAATCCAAGTGAATCGAGAATAATCATCCACAAAAATGACAAAGTATCTAGAGCCTCCCATTGTGGTATTGGGAGAAGGTCCCCAAACACCAGAATAAACTAAATCAAATGGAGAGTTTGAATCTGAATCACTTATATTAAAAGACAAAGCTGACTGTTTAGCAAGTTGACAAGATTGACAATCATTATGATAATTAGAAGAAACAGAACCTAAATTGCCACTAGATACTAAACTACGTAGCCGACCAAAAGAAACAAGCCCTAATCTAGAATGCCAAAGATCAAGAGAGGGAGTGGATGCAACATGCTGAGGAGTAGGTGTAGAAAATGGTAGATGAAGATTGATGAGCTCAAACAGACGTCCAGTTTTACGCCCTATCCCAATAGTCTGTCCTGTCCGCGGATCCTGAACCTGACAACCAGAGGAGGAAAAGAGAACAGTTAAACCAAGTTCACAAAGTTGACCAACAGAAACAAGATTTAGGGTGAGGGCAGGAATATGATAAGCATCAGAGAGAGACATAGTGGAGGTAGAGACATTACCAATATGACTAACAGACATGTGAGTGCCATCAGCAGTATGAATAATAGGTAAGGTACTAGAATAAATAAAAGAGGAAAAAGCAGTGGAATCTGATGTCATATGATTACAACATGCAGAATCAAAGAACCAAGAAGAGCTACCTAGGGTGACGGATAAGGCAGTGTTATGAGAGGTACCAGAATGTGCCTGTTGAAACATGGCCTCCATATCATTCTGAGAATAATATGGAGCAGATGGATTTATAGGAGGAGTGGAATCCTTAGCAGCAGCAGCGGCAGTAGCAATAGATCGAGAGGCAGGCTTATACCGAGACCCTTGTTTATAGTGACCCCCTCTGGAGTTCCTAGAAGAGTGGTTATTCGAGATTGTTTCTGAGGACAGTGATGCTCAAAGTGACCAGGCCCTTGTTTGTGACAAGTACGACAATCCCGAACTGGACAATGAAAAAGAGAAAGATTAAAATTGAGACCGCGATTCTGACAATACTGACAAATCTGGGTGAAGGAACTAGAAGGAGTCTGTGGGTGAGGAACAACAAGAATAGTGTCAGTAGTGGGCTTAAGAATACCAAGAGGAGTTTCCTCAAACAAGAGTTCAGTCACAGCTTGTTCCAGAGTGGGTAAAGGATCCCGGTGTAATAGAGAAGCTCGGACAAGCTCAAAAACAGGAGTGAGAGCCATAAGAAACTCAACAAAGCGGTCCTTATCACGACAATCAGCAAAAGATTGGGCATCGTTGTCATCAACCCAAACAGGCTCACAAATAGAAAGCTGATCCCATAAACTATACATAGATGATAAGAAATCATTAATGGATTGACCTGGTGCCTGACGTTGACCATGAAGACTAGTGCCAATCTAATATCGATGGGAAAGGCCAGTTGTGCGATATCGGTCTTTGAGAAAGTCCCACATAGATTTGGCAGGAGTAGGGTTGTATCAGTTTGAAATCGCCCAAATTGGAGATGAATTGAAGTGGTAGAGGTGTTCCGAAACCAAGTAATAATACGATAATTTTTTCCATCCCATGCATCCAAGCGGTCAAGAAATTTGGTTTCAGTTTCATCTACAGCTTGGATTGGTTTCGTTAATTCACTAGTAATAACTCGCCATAATTGTCGACCTTTGAGAAAGGCAGACATAGCTTGAGACCAGAGAAGATAATTGGTGCCATCAAGAACCACAAAAATTGGTTGAGCCGAGTCGAAGCGATCCATTTATTGAGGGAAAAAAAAAAGTGTAGAAAAAGACCAAATCTGGAAAAACAGAGGGCACCACTGAACTCAGAATGCAAAAAAAAACCTTGGGAACGGGTCTAAGGCCTCGTTTGAGAACAGGTTAATTTAATAATTTTTTGGCTATTTGACTAAAATATGAGCTAAAAAAAACTAGTATGTTTGGGATGACTTTTTAATTTTTTACGAAAAGATGTGCAAAAAGTAGAGAGAAAAGGGAATCTTTGACTTTTTGGTATAAGTTATTGACTTTTTGATTTTTTTTAGTAACTTTTTGACTTTTAGGCTAAAAGAGACAGTTCCCAAACAAGGCCTAAATACACTGAAAACGGGGCTAAAACGGATTGAAAGGGCAAAAAATTTAACAGGATGACATCAACAATGATGTCAGCGGCTGTAGAGGTGCTAGGGCTGACGTCAGCTGAGGGGTGTGCCGCTGACGTCAGCAAAGGGTGTGGTAGTGACGTCAGCAAAGGCGGAGAGGCGCACGCGTGAGAGAAGCGTGTCGCGTGGCCCTGCAGCAGAGGGCGAGTGTAAGCGCGTGGTGCGACTGGTGGCATGTCGTCAAACGCGCCAAGGGAAAGGCGGCACGTGGAGGCACGTGCGGAGGTTTTTATGAGTGAGGGTGGCGGCGACAGAATCGTCTTGAGAAGAGAAAGGATCTGGCTGCTGTATGTGGGAATTACGGCCACTGAAGAGAGAGTCGTACGGAACTAACAGATCAGATACAAAAAAAAAAAAAAATTGTTATCGGTGGCTGAGATTGCCGGTGAGGGAGCCAAGGAAAGGTTCAGAACCCGAGCTTTGATACCATGCTAACACAACTAGACAAATAGAAAAGTATATTGAATAATATTATGTGTATGTCATACAATACAATGAAGGCCCAAATAGATAGGCAAAGAAGGAGAAAGAGAATCCTAATCCTACTATATAATGTAATCCTAATCCTATTATATAATGTAATCCTAATCCAATATATATTACTAACAAAAACCACGAAAACCTATGTGCATGAAACTACCATTGATACTTATGTGCACAATTTTGGTAGCCAAATGAAGAATACAAACTTGTTGGAAGAAGAACATTTTTGGGGAAAAAAAAGTGATGTATAAAAATGAAACAATCATACTTGAAGAATGAAAAAAAAGAAGTTTTTATTGAGAAACTTACATTCATAGTTCTCAAATTCCCTAGCATGATGCGTCTTCACAAATGTAGCTTACCCTATAGCAATCAAAGAATTCAGCAATTGAAGTTGTAGTACTATAGGTAACAGGGCATTTAACACTATCACAACATCATACTCTAGATGACTCATTAAAATATTAGGACATTACCACCATGGCCTGAGCTAATTCTCCAATGGAACATTCAGAAGTATGCCCCGCAAATTTAGGGAGGGGGGAACAATCAAAATTTTATTTTGATGGAACAAGTATTAAGTATAACTATTGACAAAACAAATGGTCTATACAAAATACAAAGACTCAAATTAAAGTAAGAAGGAAATGATGAGTGAATGTGAAAATTACTACTATGATAAGGACAACAAATACTCAAGAAGTATGGAACATATACAATATATATCAATTTTTACTGTCTCAAAGAATGTGAAGGGCCTACCTTGCGCCCTTAAAGGCTTAAACCATAGAAGAACAATAATTTGAACAAATTAGAGCTTTTCTGGAGTCCAATCCCTAAAAATTGTTTTTGTGATTCTACTTCCTTCAAGCGAATAAAGAGTCAATGGTTTATGAATATATATGTGTACAGAGAGAGAGAGAGAGAGAGAGAGAGTAATTACCTGATAAAGCAAAAGTGAGTCAGATCTGTGAGAAGAGTGGGAGTTATTGATTTGGGTTGATGGTGATAAAGCCAACGCCGATCGAAGATAGAGAGAGCAGAGAGAAGTCAATTTCATTCAAACCCAAACCATAGGATTTTCCAAGAACATAAGCGCTTGCAAACCATGATTTTCCCTTTCTTTTTGTGAGTTAGTTCCCAAGTGTTTAGGATTCCAATGGGCAAAGGCTCCTTGCTTCGTAACAGGAGACCCTTTCCTTTCAATGGCCTTTTTAATTTTTAATTCTAGAATGCCATTAAATTTTATTTGTGCTAACAACCTTAAATAAATAAAATGTCACTCAATTTTATTTTATTTAAAAAAAATATCACAAAATTTATTTCTACTGACAGCTTTAAATAAAATGCCACTCAAATAGTGGAATACCCGTTTGGTTAAGTGACATTTTAAAAAAAATGCCATTAGATGTATTTGTAATAGCATTTTTTATTAAAAAAAAAATGACACACAAGTTATGCCACTAAATAATGTTTTTGTAGTGTTGTGACACTTGTTCATTGAAATGTCATTAGAGCCTTCTATGTTTGTGATTTTGTGACATTTTTGAAAAATGTGCCACCAAGTATTATTTTTGTGGCATTTTCTAAAAATATGCCACTAGTATAGTGCCACTAAAGTGTATTTTTGTTGTAATGACATTCAAAGTTTGATGTTGTACGTTCCTGAAATGCCTACGTCGGAGGGGGCATTGTTTCCGATGAATGCCAAGTAGACCTGCAATGCATTTTGACGTAAAGTATTCCATTTGCGGTGAGAACAGCCTCAAATATACAGCAGTTAGGGGTAATCTCAAATTAGGATAAAACTTGAAAATTAATTATAAATTAGTGATAAAATTTATTAAGATTAATAATTAAAATTATAAATTTTTTCATACATATATAATAATTTTTTTAAATTACCACTTAGGGGTAATGTCCTCAAAAAATTACAGGTCAGTGATAAAATTTATAAATTTTAAATTTTTTCATAAATATATAATTATTTTTCAAAGTTATCAATACATCCAAATTTTTGCAATGATAAATCCACGGGAATAGCGGTTTGATGTGAACCATTTTTTTTTTTTTTCATTTGGTTTTGTTCATATGATGTGATGGTTTTTGGCTCACAATTAAGTTAGGGTCCTAATGGAATTTTTGTGAGAATACAAAAATTGTTCATAAAATTGAATCCGAGCCTCTCATGTGTGAAATTCAAAAAAAAGATAAGACTCAACTCATTTAAATGGATTATGTCAGATTTTACAATTAATTCCTATATTAATAGATTTTTTTCGTAGTTAGTAGTCATATCTATCCAACTTGTGGGACACAACATATGTGTTCAGGTAAAGAGTTTGAAGAGAAATTAGTAGAATTGGGAGAGGAGATTTGAAGAGGGAAAAAAAAAAGAAAAAGAAAAAATAATGGGAAAACTTATAAAATTACTTTCAATTTCATTTATTTTTCCACCTTTTTATTTTTCACTTACAAGTTTCCAATCAAATACTCAATCCAAGTAGTACCTTAAGGTTTTCCAATTTTATAATAATTTGACGATAGATGATAGAATTGTTCATCTACTTCTCCCAGTAAACTCCTCATTCTCTCTCTATTTTATTAAAATAATCTTTTTAATTGTTTTTAAATTTTAATATTTTTTTAATAATAAAATAATTAAATAGACACGGAAGAAAGCAAATAAGAAACAGTAGCGGAAGCCAAGGGCGTGGTCGACCGGCCGAACGTTTGGATAGACAACCAACGAAGCAAGTTTTGTCGAAATCACTCCATTTGAGACATTCGCAATCCTAAATTTAAAGGGTTGTATAAGAAATCTGGTGAGGAAGAATTTTTGGAGAATGAACCCCTTAATTTAGCAAAAAATTATAGGTTCAGATATATAATCCATTAAATAAATAAATAAATATATATATAAGTCTACTTTTTAAATTCAATGGCATGTTAAGAAAATAATTGATTAATAATTAAAAAATATTTAATTATCAACTAATAATTTGTTGACACATCACTAAATTCGGGTCTAACTTTTAGACTTACATACCAATTACACGGCGTGATATATTTTAAAAATCGCACTTATAATACGAGCAAGGATCCTCTAGAGTGATTTTTCTCTAAAGTTTCCTAAAGTGCTACAGTGTATGGTTGAGATTTACTGGCAAGTCACATCAATTTTTCTGATGTGACTTGCCAGTAAATCTCAACCACACAATATAGCACTCTAGGAAACTTTAGGAAAATTTCACTCTAGAGGATCCTTGGTGTTATAATACAGCGCATGATTTATTTTGCAATAATGCTAGGTATCATGAAAACAATGTCATGAAAAGTTTTCATGAAGATTCTCCACCATTGGATTAGATTATAGTGTTTGTAGTGTTTTATTGTATGTTATGCATTGACCATTGAATTAGTTTCATGAAATTTTTCATGATATTTATTTCATGATACGTAGTATTACCCTTTATTTTGTGGTTCTCTTTCTTTCTCATGCAAGTCAAGCTTATTATGAACACCCTCCAGAGCCAAACCCTAGCTTCCCTCCTGCAACATCATATACCACATCCAAAGTCTGCTGCTGTACATTCCCAAAAATGCCCACGTCGGAGGCGGCGCTGTTTCCGGCGAACGCCAAGCAGACCTGTGACGCACTTACGGCGTAAATTATCCCGTTCGCGATTAGAGGAACCTCGATGTTGCCGCCGAACAAGAAGCTGATCTGCGGAATCTCCACAGAGTTGTACTTGCTCAGATCGTAACAAGTATCGAATAATCCCAGAGCTTGAGCCATTGGATATTGCTTCATCTGATCCCGGAAAGCCGTTTTCAATGCATCGTACGCCGCCGGAGGGAGGCGAGTTATGACGGTGCCGGAATCGATTATCGAACCGGCGGTCTCGAACACCGATTTTGAGATCGATAATGTCTGGCCACTGACTTTGATTCCGATTATATCGAAGAAGTACGACGAAGCTTGCGAGTTCGATAACAGTGGAGTGAATTGCAGAGATGATCCATTGGAGCTTCCTCCTCCGTTTCCGAAGGTTAGGTATCCGGAGGAGCTCGTTGTTGAAGGAAGACAGTAGGAGAAGTAATTTCCGTATTTGGAAGATGTTTGTGAGACAAGAGACAATGGATCTCGGCCGAGTCCGATCAATCCGGCGGCGCCGCCGAAGAGACCAGTGTTATTTTGGCCGCAACCGAAGAGGAAATTGGGGAAAACATCGGAGGGTGTCAATGTGATAGTTTCGGATCCAAAGAAGCCTTGAGAGACTGACGAATCGCCGTACTCGATGCCGTAGAAACAGGTGTTGGTGAAACAACGAGGATCGAAGCTGGTGGCGGAGGAGAGTTGAGAGCACTGCTGGGAGCTACAAGTGATGTTGGTGTATGTGGATGAGAGAGAAGGATCGTAGATTGGATCTTGTTGTTGATAGCAGGACCCGAAACATGGCTGGCATTGAGTCCAGGTGAAATCGCTGCCGGTGTCGAAGATGAGGGTGAGGTCTTTTTTCGGGGTTCCGAGTCCGATTCTCACGATGTAGTTTCCGGTGCCGATTGAATTGCCGGAGTTCGCCGGAATGGTCGTGGCCTTGGACTCTTTTAGACTGTTTCGTCTGAGACGAGACTGGATTGAGTTGACTCGAGACTGGTCACGACGGAGGATCTCAGTCACTGTTGGAGCACTCTCTGTATTATGTTCATTTAGATGAAAGCATGGACCGTACTTGTGAACTACTTTCAGTGACGCTCCATTCCTCTTATCTATTAAGTATAATCAAATTTGTTTAGGGTAAGTCATACTTTTAAGATTTATTAATTATTAAGTTTTATTAATAAATTTATCAGTTTATTTTATTTTTATGAATAAATTTATCATTGATAAATTTATCAGTCAAGACTTGTAAATAAATAATTCTAATTAATAGGACTGATTGATAAGTGTACCATTTGTTTAATATAAATAATAAGTATTATGAATTTAATTATTACAAATGATATAATTTAAATTATGAGCGTTATAATTAAAAAAGAATGAAACTTAAATTTATGAAACTTTATTGAGTTAATGTAATTGATTAATTATGAAAATAAATCATACAAAGATAATGGAATTGTTCGAGTTTGATTAGTAGGAAATACTGTCGATGAGAGATTTATGGACAAAAAATTTAAAAAAATTATGTAAAGTTTTATAAAAATGCTTGAGATCCGTAGATATTAATGCTAAATTTATTACATCGATAAATTTAAAATAATATTTTAAAATTTTCTAACATCACCCTTTTTGGAACATTTTTATGAATAAATTTAAAATGATAAATTTATCAGTCAAGACTTGTAAATAAATAATTCTAATTAATAGGACTGATTGATAAGTGTACCATTTGTTTAATATAAATAATAAGTATTATGAATTTAATTATTACAAATGATATAATTTAAATTATGAGCGTTATAATTAAAAAAGAATGAAACTTAAATTTATGAAACTTTATTGAGTTAATGTAATTGATTAATTATGAAAATAAATTATACAAAGATAATGGAATTGTTCGAGTTTGATTAGTAGGAAATACTGTCGAGGAGAGATTTATGGACAAAAAATTAAAAAAATTATGTAAAGTTTTATAAAAATGCTTGAGATATTAATGCTAAATTTATTACATCGATAAATTTAAAATAATATTTTAAAATTTTCTAACATCACCCTTTTTGGAACAAAAGAATTGTTGCATTAACAACTTTTTTTTATACACAAAAGCAATTGATAATGAATTATATATATATATATTTTAAGTAGATAGAGATATAATTTAATTGTGGTCTCATACTTGTGGACCATTTGATGTTTCATAGCAAATTTTTTGTGCTTCAAAGGCACTAACAAAGGAAAGTTTATAATTTTTATTGATTAAAATAGTGCGATTCAATACTTTTAATTTGATTTTTGAGAGATAATATTACAAGTGCCATATATTAAATTGTGTGAATTATTATTGCAACACCGCTAAATACCCATTCTAGAGACATTTTTAATATTGATAAATTTTTTACTAAATCCACGCTCTTTTCAAACTAATTTCCCAAATTACATGAGTTTGGGAAATATTTTAAAATCTACATGGGTTTGGAAAATTAATTTGAAAAAAACTTGAGTTTAGTAAAAAAAATAAAAATAAAAATAAAAAAAATAAATAAAAAAACTCATAGAGAGAGAGAAAGAGAGTTATTGATATACCTTTGGTAGAAGGGCTGCAAACAGAAACTGGTAAAAGAGAGTTGACTTGAACTGTATGAAAGTACCTTTGCAAAGTCTTTCTCTCTCCACCACCCAAAGCATAGCCATTCTTTGAGGAGCAGAGAAGAAAGAAAAGAGAAACATAGGAGAGGAAGCTAATGGAAAAGTAGAAAGCTATTGGACTGGCCATCATTTACAAAAGGCCCTTCTTTCTCAATTATGCTTTTTTTCAAAGCACTTCTTGCGTTACGAGTGTTGCAATAAGCTACTGAATTTATAATGGATGCTCAACATTCCATGTTACCCCCTAAGACAATGGTGTCATTTTGGGGATAACATATTTTAGTTAAAAAATAATTATAAATTATCATGTTATTTTTTCTATTTTTCTGTAAAAAAAATATTAAAATAATTTATTTCCAAACGAGACCCTTTACATTTTCTATGGTCATCCTTCACATTTCCTAGAGGAAAAGAAAAGGAAACATTTTTAAAATATATATATATATATATATTTTAAAATTTTTTGATCCTTAGTATGACTAAATTGTCTCTAAGATTGCAAATTTTCTTATTTCATTTGTAGTTTATTTTGGTGCATCTTATGTACAACTTATACCTCCTCTTGTTCCCTTTTTCATTTTTACATATTTAAAAAATTACTGGTCTACTAAATAAAATGAAAGAAAAAGAAGATGGACAAGTAAATATGTGGAGAGAGAACTACACATGAGCATCTGATTGATAATAAAACCATACATGACCAACTTAGCTCAACAATACGAAAACTATGTGACTACTTTTATTATATTTTTTCAAAATCAGACCAACTCTAAAAAATAATATGTGATACACTAAGGTACTGTTTGGTAACACTTACGTTTTATGTTTTTTGTTTATATTTATAAAAATTTTAAAAACTCAAATAAAAACTTGTTTGGTAAAATTTTTGATTTATAAATCAGTGGTCTCAGTTTATAAATTTGGCCAAAAAATGAAAACACAAAAAATGTGTTTCCGTTTTGAGTTTTAAAATTTAAAAATATATTTAAAATATTAAAAAAATAAATAAAAATACAAAAAAAAACTAATTTTTTAAAAATTAAATCTTAAAAATTCAAACCAAACAACTGTATATTTCTCTTTGCTTCCACTTGCGCATCAGACACATTGTACAAGTTCCCACTTACGCGTTTGTTTGCGCGATTGCTGTGAGGAAAATGATAGATAGGCTGTCTATTACTTGGTGATGAGCATAAAAATTAAACTAAATTTTGATTTTTTTTTGGGGTGGTCCACTTAAAGCGACGAAGAATTTTCTTTCGATGTTTTCTAGAAAGGGATTGATATATATATATATATATATATATAAAAATAATTTAGGGTGTTCGGATTAATTTGTGTGTATTTCGACTAATCCCTAAGAGATCAATTCCATTGTTCACTAACGGGGAGCCTAATTAAAGTTATAATAAAATTCCATATGAACTGATTCAACACAAGAATTAATAGCATTTAAAAAATTTCCAACCTAATATGTAGTGTCCATATTAGTCAATTAAACTCAATTAAGATAAACCCAATAGTCCCATTTATTGGTACTAATCTAATAAACCCTACGGTCTTATTTATGTGGAAATGACAAAATAATCTTACATTTTACATTCAGAACGCTAGTTAAATATCCATAAATGACTAAAATATTCATTTACTAAAATTACACATCTGTTCAAAGTTTGCTAAAGGATTTTATTCTAATTTTTTTGAATATTTAGAGAATCCCATAAATCAAGTAATTCCAAAACAAGAAAATTAGCATGTCAACTTTCTCCATTTTGAATACCAAAACCCCAACCCAATTTCTCCCAATATGGTAAGCGACTTCAACGGTGTAATCAGTGGCATTACATGCAAATTTTAAAAGGTGAATTATACTAACAGTTTCTATAGTTTGAAATTTGTGTCACTTTGATTCTTAATTTTTTAATTGTGACACATTTAACTTTGAATTTTAAATTTTATTCCAAATAAGAACAATTGAAGATACTATTTTCAAGGACAAAATCTTCAATTTCATAAAATATAAACTAATTTGACAAAAATAAAAGTCAAAAAAATATTTTTGAATTTTTAAAAATTATTTCTTTCCATCAAAGATAAAATTATGTAAAATTAATAAATCTTTTAGACATTTATTTATTTATTTTACCAAATTAATTTTTTTACCCCATTTGATGGGACTTAAGGCTTTGTTTGGTTTGGTTTATGTGTTTGGATGATGATTATGTAATGGGTGATTATTAGGATTTTAATGTGTAATCGATATATTTAATATATGAAACGTTTTTAGTTTTAAATTTTTGATTTAATAGATTGATTTAATAATGATATCACAGTTATCGCCATATTTGATTTTTGGAAAAATAGAAACTAATTTAATAGAAATAAAAACAACAACTCATTACATGATCATCATTCAAACACATAATGAAAATTAACTAATTGATCATATCAATTTTATATAATTTTATCTTTAGTGGATAGAAATAATTTTTAAAAATTCAAAAATATTTTTTTGATATTTATTTTTGTCAAATTAGTTTATATTTTATCAAATTGATGATTTTGCCCTTGAAATTAACTAATGGTATCTTCAATTGTCCTTATTTAGAACAACATTCAAAATTTAAGATTAAATATGTCACAATTAAAAAGTCAAAAATCAAAATAATACAAATCTCAAACTATAGAGGCCGTTAATATAATTTGTCCAATTTTAAAACCTAATATTCCATTGTTGTGGTTCCTTATTTTGAATACCACATTTGGTCAAGCATACATGAGCTCCGTTTGGCAATAGGTTACTTTCTTAACTTTTTGATTATTTGACTATTTTAAAAAGTTATTTTAGTTTTTGTGTTCAGGAATATGAGTTACTTTTTTTTTTAATTTTATATTAAAAATATATATTTGAAATGATGTTAAGGTGGTAAATAACTAAAACGCCCCTGTAACAATGATACTTCCAAGCATAGTACGGGGTGACGTGACAATAGTACGGGGTGACGCGACAATAGTATTCCATAGAAATACAAGCAACAACTATTGAATCATTTGACAATCTTTCCTTACAGTCCTGCAAAGCCACGTGATAGATTTTTGTTTGTATGTGCTTATTGGCTATTTTCACTCGAGCAATGCTATAGACCACTAATTTATCATCACTAATACCATCATTAATGAGGTAGCAATTGAAAAAAAAAAAAAAAAAAAACAAGGCACAAAACACATGTGGAGCCACCACTAATTAGTGGTCTAAAGCATTTTTGATTTTCACCCTAATCTTTGCTTCCTAAACAGTGCCATAACCACATTCTCCAATTGAGGTGGTGTTTGGCAAGTTGGGTTGGGGTTAAAATAGGCACAAAAGATAAAATATGTTATTTTAGTCACAACAAACAAAACATCACATCTAACCCATAATTATTACACTCTTTTCTCACAAAAAAAGTTAAAAAAACTAAAAAGCTAAAAAGCCCTTTTCAAACCAAGCTTTTTAGCCCAGACTAAAATAATCAAAAAAGTCAAAAAGTCAAAAAGTCAACCCACTTCCCAAACGAAGGCTGAGATAGTAGCTGCTTGGCATCTGTGGAATTCGATACACCGACCGAAACGTAGGCACACACGATGGGTCAAAAAAGTAAGTATTGTTTATGTGTTTTTTTTATAATTACATACCACCATTGTGCTGGGATTTTTGATAATGTTGGGTTCAATTAGAAGTCAGCAATTTGAACACCAATTTCAATTTTATTTTTTTGGAGGGAAACCTAACGTCATTCTTCATACCCACCTTTGTGTATAATGTGAATGTGGCTTTCACTCTGTTTGCAGGTATTCAGGTGCATATATTGAATGAGGGTTGGGATAATCTATCGATTTGTGTTCGATGTGATTATTGTAGGTACATGAGTTTGTCTTTGGGTGTGAAGATATGACTTTACAATGCTGATTTGTAAAATATTTTGTTTTTGAAAACAAAAAAGTGAATTATATGTAGATGTGTATTTTTTATTCAAGACATTAATCGTTGTATCCTAGGAGATAGACGTCCATTGAATCCTAAGCACCGGTGGGAGGACGAATCTGTTTTAAGGAAATAGTGTCACACACTCGACTCGATCAGGTTTTATCTGTTTATGTGCTATAAGTTTTATCACGTTATTATGTCGATTTATTTCAGTTTTTTTTTGGTTTTGCCCAAAAATCGTTTGCATAATTTTAAATTATATTTTCTAGATAGTTTAGTACTATTTTATCCAACAATTTCAATTTTATTTTTTTGGAGGGAAACCTAACGTGATTCTTCATACCCACCTTTGTGTATAATGTGAATGTGGCTTTCACTCTGTTTGCAAGTATTCAGGTGCATATATTGAATGAGGGTTGGGATAATCTATCGATTTGTGTTCGATGTGATTATTGTAGGTACATGAGTTTGACTTGGGGTGAAGATATGACTTTACAATGCTGATTTGTAAAATATTTTGTTTTTGAAAACAAAAAAGTGAATTATATGTAGATGTGTATTTTTTATTGTCATTCGGGACATGTGTTAGAAATCTATTATTTTTACAAATTGAGGCCTTCATGTTTCGAGTACATTATTTGAAAATGTGGACATATGTAAGCATATTTTGCACCGTATGAGTTTGATGTTAATTGATTTTTTTTAATTTTATTTTGCGTTGATGTGTTAAGGTCAAAATATAATTTAAGGTGTGCAATATGTGTCTTAAAATAATATGAAGATTAAGGATATTATTATTAATTAAGGATACAATGTGGATGTTTGTGAAGAATGAACGTAATCCACTCTTTACACGCATATACAATGGGAAACGCATTTGGTGTCGTTTGGAACGACCTAAACAACACTATGACATTAAATGTAGCATTATCGAAACACCATTTACTCGAGAAAATCACATCACCAGAAAATCCACATTGTCATGTTTCACCCTTTAAAGTGTATATTCACTTCCGACGCCCAATGCGAACCCACTTTAACCAATCTTGTGATTCCCTCAAATAAATCTCAAAAAATATTGCTTTGTGTTCCCAAACTTCCTTCATAAATAAATAAAAAAAAATACTCTAAATCTATATAGAACAAAGTCAGAAAAGCAAAATTTCACCTAAGAAATTATATTAAATCCACCTTACTAATAGGACTAATTGGTTTATAAGAAATTTTATG